CAGTTCTTACTACCCCTAGATTATCATGTTTTTTTTTACAACTTAAGCAGGTCATTTGCTAATCTGCAATTCAAGATAACAGGAGATACACATGCTTAGGAATTAAGCAGGAAGAGGAAATCACCTCAAGAACAAGTTGATTTTGTTGAGCACTGCTAGTAGATTAGTTGATGTGTGGAAACTTCAGGGGAAGAAAGGATAACACTCAGCTGTAATATTTTTCTTTTCCATACATCACAAAAAGGCAAAAATGGTGAAAAGGAAACATTCACTTAGGTGCTAGGGGATGGACTGTATTTTTCAGCAATTATTGAAGCCTGGTTGACAGACACACAAAAGCAACCAAATAAGATGCAAATTACAGTCCTCTACATACAATTGGACCTCAAGTATTTGCAAGGAGACAGTTTAACTAGTGATTCGATGCCAACACTGGTTGAAAACTGATCAACAGCCATGGCAAAGGTAAAGCTTGAGTCAAGTCCCTGAGAGAGATGATTCCTTGTCACCCACCTTACATTCTCTGCAGTCTCCAATTGTGGAGTCATACGTGCCTGCCTGCACACTGCCGAACAGTTTAAAAAGCATCAAGTTAGAAAACTATGCAGATGCCTACAGTGAAGGACGGCCATGTAACAGGTAACTACCTTGAAATTCCAATATTGATTATTTATTCCTTATGAAGATCAACAAATTTGTCTCAAGGTTTATGACCAAGCAGCCCTCTGAATATAAATTTTTAATTTAACCCAAAGTCACTGAAGATTCATTTCACTCCGCATTTTCTAACTTAGCCCTTAGGTTACAAGTTCAGACACTGGGAAAAAAAATTACCTCGAGCATAGAATTATACACAGCTGCAACTCAAACCAAGTTAAACAGACTTGAATTAAACCATTAAAATTCTCTGCCAGTAACTTATCGTTTGGCATAATCATGTCTATTATCTATGTCTATATACACATTTGAAATTAATTTCAATCTTAATAGCCTTCCCCTAAACAAACTGAGGCACAGGACTGTAGCTGTACTCCAGAAGACTGGAAGGGTAAACCACTTGAAACTACAGGTCAGTCAGCGTAACTAATAGGACCAATTCTAAGGGGTAGAATTCATCTGCATTTGGGACAGAAAAGGATAAATTAGGAATAGTCAGCATGGTTTTCTTAAGGTGGGTGCAGGGCCACGTCATGAAGATGTACAGCACGGAAACAGACCCTCCAGTCCAACTAGCCCATGCCAACCAGATATCCTAAATAATCCAGACCCATTTGCCAACATTTGGCCCATATCCCTCTGAACCCTTCCTATTCATGTACCCACCCGGATGCCTTTCAAATGTTGTAATTGTACCAGCCTCCACCACTTCCTCTGGCAGCTCATTTCACCCTCAGCATGGAAATATTGCCTCTTACGCCCCATCTAAATTTTTCCCCTTTTACCTTAAACTTATGCCCTCTAGTTTTGCACTCCCCCACCATGGGGAAAGACCTTGTCTATTTACCCCATCCATGCCCCTCAGGGTTTTTAAAAAACCTCCAAAGTCACTCCTCAGGCTCCAACGCCCCAAGGAAAATAGCCCCAGCCTAATCTGCTTCTCCCTATTGGTCAAACCCTCCAACCCTGGCCACATCCTTAGAAATCTTTTCTAAACCCTTTCAGGTTTCACAATATCCTTCCCATAGTAGGAGTGAATTTTTTTGAACAGTTGACCAGGTGTGTACATGAGCGTAATGCATTTTACGTAGTCTACTTGGACTTCGGTAGGCTTTTCATAAGGCATCAAATGGGTGCCTGATAGTGAAAGTAAGGGCCCATGGCATCCAAGGAAAGTTGTCAAATTGGATCCAGAATTGGCTGAATGGCAGGAAGCAAAGCTTGATGGTCAAGAAAACAATCTGACCATTTATGTGCTTCATAACTGAACAAGAACGCCATTCAATTTACTGCCACCATAATCCAGATACCTGTATCAAACTTGATGAAGTCTGTGATCTTGCCAGTATCCAGATCAATCTGCACAGTGTCATTGACCTTAATCAGAGGATCCGGATAGCGAATGGTTCGTGCATCATGCGTAACGAGGTGAGGAATTCCCTTGGTGCCCACTCGAATCTTTCTTACTTTGCACAGCTTATACTGGAAAACAAATTAAACAGTTTTAAAGACACTCAACGGAGTTACAAAAAAACCTTAAAACTAAATTCTATAGTCCCCACTTTTTGCATGTAAACAGTTGTGTAAATCTAGCTCAAAAATGTTGACATTTCTATCAATGTAATTGTAGTTAGGCATTGTTCTGAGGAAGGGTCACCGGACCCAAAGCGTTAACTCTGTTTTCTCCTTCACAGATGCTGCCAGACCTGCTGAGCTTTTCCAGCAACTTTGGTTTTATTCTTGATTTACAGCATCCGCAGTTCTTTTGGTTTTTATGTAGTTAGGCGTTGTTCAGCTACTGAAATCTCATACAGGTTATTTTACCTAATTCTATATCCAAAGAAGTATTTTGTTGTAACAGATACCAGGACGGTGGGTAGAGGGAGAGAAAGAACAATACACCTTAGCTTGCTGAACCAGATTCACTGCTGCAACAAAACATTTAACCACCAACCAATTGCATAGCTAAACAATGGAACAACATGATGTTGCTGCAGTGTTCAATAGCATACATGGCTAAGTGGCAAGGCACAAATCTGCACCTGCAACATTCTACAGTGAAAGGCCATCTTCTTTACTCCTACCCAGTCACCATAAAACAGAAGCCAGATTCATTTAAAAGTCGAGAGGTTTTCAGCGTGAGCTTGCATAATACTTAAGCACACATTCACAATGACAGAAACCTAAAAGCTATCTGCCCTCCAGAAACATGTAAGAATGTAAAAACAATTGCACAGCACAAGTCCCACGAGTTAATCATAATCTATTTGCAAACCACATGGGGGAGCAAATACAAAAAAGGAAACAAAAAGTAGTTACTATCTACTTCTAGCCAGTTAGTGCAGCAAGGTTCTGAAAAGTACAATCAAACTCAAACCAAAGGCTTTTAGTAGAATGGTTAATCTTTAAAGAGCTTCCACAAACATCATTCCAAATACTGCCAAGTCTACACCCTATGCCAACCTCATTGCCATTATGATCACTCTATGATCTGTATATCCTTGTTTGCTTTGATCTGCCTGTATTGTTCACAATCAAAGCTTTTCTGTACTGTACTTCGGTATATATGACTACAATAAATCAAGTCAAATACTAACTATTCAAGTTTTCAACTATGCCAAGATACAGTAAGGACAGCAGTCCACTATTCTCACCTGCGAGATGACAGAAGTTGGGCTTAATTTTTCTACACAACATTAAGTAATATGACTAACATCCATAAATAATAAGTTAAGATGCTTGGCTTCAAGAAGCAAACCTAATGCAAAGTGTTATCAATAAGCCTTCTCTCTTCAACTGCACAGGTAAGACTCATGACCGCTGTGCCAGTCACAGCCAAATATACAAACATGGAGGCACAGGAAGCAAGTTCATTAAAAGAAACAACGGCAGAAACAAAAATATAAGTGGTTCTTGCGTACATCATCTAAAGGTCAACTGAAGCAGAAACAAGTTGCAATTACACAAGAGGTATAAGTGAATATGACAAATCATATACCTTGGCCTCCTCAGCTGTAATTCGGTGCACTGCAAAACGACCCTTGGTGTCATAGATCAGACGGAAATGTTCACTTGTTTTATCAATGCTGATCACATCTATAAATAAAAATAAATTCATAAGGTAAGCCACAATACACAGCATGAAATTACAACATCTAGCCGTTTACTAACATTAGGAAGCAGCAGAATAACTGAATTTAGTTAACTGGGCAAGGTTATAAGCAAAAGCTCAATTCTCACCTCTCTCCTCCTTATCAATACATATTCTAAATATATTAGGCGGTTATGATCACCACTCCACCTGTCTGATTTGAAACTGGAAGTCTCAACCAAATCTCATTTTTAAAAGTTGTTTCACAGGAAGCAAGTGTTGCTGGCAACAAGTAACAGCCAATGAAAAGCTGTGGCAGTGGATAAAGCACTTTCCTGAACCATTAAGAGTTCATCTGATGGGGCTACATCCACAGCACTGTTAGGGTTGGAGTTCCACATTTTTGCTGTGAAGGATCAGTGATATAGTTCCAGGTTAGGGTGTTGAGTGGTTTGGAGGTAAACTGGCTAAACACACCCCGTTTGATATCAGGAAGCATGTGAAATTTTCCAAGAAAAAGCACAGCAATACCTCCCTAGTATTCTACTTCAAAAACTGAAATCTGCTGAAAGTAACATTGAATTTAGACAAGGCACACAAGAGATACAAGCATCATAGAATTACAATTAAAGAAACTCTTCACACTAACCCATGAATCCAGTTGGGTAAGTCACATCAGTACGGACTTTGCCATCAATTTTGATGAATCTCTGCATACAGATCTTCTTCACCTCATCACCAGTCAAAGCGTACTTCAGACGATTTCTGAGGAAAATGATGAGGGGGAGACACTCACGGAGCTTGTGTGGACCAGTAGATGGACGGGGAGCCTAGTGAAGCAAATACAGTTTACACACTCAGCACACAATGCACCAACACGATTATCAAATACACGCATGGACAGTACTTTCACTTACTTGAAGTGTTTTTTTAATAACCAGAATATTCACAGGAATCCTGCTTTTACCAACACGATGCATATACTTCTACAAATTAGTGAAATAGAGCCACAAACTTGTTTACTATTTCTGCCAATGTTCAGTTGTCAAAATACAATAGGAAAAGGCCCACTTAGATCTTCATTCTGGGCAAATTGAGCAGTAAAAACTGTAAAACCTAACCAGCTGAAAACAGGAGAACAAAACAAAAAGGCACAGGAACATGCCCAGTCCAGTCTGCTCCACCATTCCACTTGACCTTAGGTTTCAACTTCACTTTCCTGCTTGTTCCTTGTATCCCTCGATTAAATGAAAATCAAAAAAATTATCTACCCTCGCCTCAAATGTATTCAAGTAAGAAAATACCTGACCCTCACTAACCTTGATGCAGATGGAGCATTCAATCACAATAAAAAAAAAATCAAATTTCAAATAGACAGGTACAAACGAATTCAATGGAGTAAAAGACACTTGCAAACTCATGACTCTCCCTGTGAACTGAGTAGAATACAACCTGACTGTTGTCATTTCAAACTGGAATAAAACGTTGAAATACATAAATCCTACCTATTGAACTGTTCTTTAATCAGAAAAGACTACGGCAGCAATAACAAGCTGCAAGGTATCTACTCAGCTATACATTTATAACAATGTATGGAAAACTCTGAATACATACATGCCATTCAGCAAAAATAGTTTCTGCAATCCCAAAGGTCCTAATTCAACTGTATTAGACTGAGGGAGTTAGGGGCTGCAGAAATCTCACTGCATCCGAATTTATCCACACCACTACAGACGACCAAATATTAATATTTTACTGAACGCCCGCGAAATACTTACAAATACTCCAGTCAGTTTATCCAGCATCCAATGCCGGGGAGCCGCCAGGCGCTTCAGGTGCTTCTTTGGACCCCGGGCCTATAATAAAAGGAAATAATCAGTTAGTTTCGGCGGCTATAGCTGGAACTCTCAATCCTCCTGTCTCCGAACATCCGAGCCAAGATTCCCGAAGTTCTCTTCCCCGCGACGAAACCCGACTCGTCCGCCTAACTCAGAGGGGGAAGAGGAAATTTTAAAAACGAAAGCCGACCGCGAGGGTCGGGGTGAAGCTGGAACTCCAGCCCGTTGACGGCGCGGATAGAGGCCTGGTCCTCCATCGCCGCCGAGGGAAGCGAGAGCAGTAGAAAGTTCCAGCAACTTTTACTGAAGGATTAAACCAGAGCCCACCCGGCCCCGCCGCCTCCGATGAGAGGGGAGGAAAGCAGGGGCAAGGCCTGGGAGGGAGAGGGGGCCGGGACCTGGGGCAGTAAAACGCTTTCCTGCCCCGGACTCTAATGGCTGCCACTATCCCCAACACTCGCTCACTTGTTGCTAAAATATCCAAAAACTTTCCGCGCTCTTCGCACAAATGACGCCGCGACCCGACGCCCTGTCCGTTTATGCACGGATTGCGGCACGATTGCCGATGTTTCTCCATTTTAAGCGGTAGATGTTGTCAGATTCACCCTACACTCCCATACTCGCTCACTCTCACCATTTCTGTAGCTGCAGGAAAAGGACCACTCCCCACAATGCAGCGCGCATTGAGGCCGCGGGTCAGAGGTCAGGCGGTGGCGCGCCTGCGCTCTGGGCTCTTCTGAAGAAGGCTGTCTGCACCAGAAATGTTAATTGTATTTCTTTCCCCAGATGCTGCCAGAACTGCTGAGTTTCTTCGGTTTTTTCTGTTTTTTTTTCTCTCTCTCTCTGATAGATATTGGGAGAGGTTGTCGTGTCCACGTAACTGAACAGGTTTCTTTCCAGTACCAGGAAGGTTTGCATTTTACACAACTGTCCTGCATGGAAGTTGTCAACCCTTCAGGAATTTAAGATTAGTTTCCAGGACACTATCATGAACAACCGGGGAGAACATTTATAAGGGCTAAAATACGTTTATTTTACTACTTACAAAATTATGGGAAAGGTAGACTATTTCAATATATAGGGAGGTCACATTGAAATTTCCAGGAGCAGGTCCAACAGAAGTGGTAAGACAAACAAGGGCAGGACTTATACAGTTAATGGAAGGGCCCTAGGGAGTGTTGTCAAACAGAGAGGAGTTCAGGTACACAATTCCTTGAAAGTGGCATCATGGGTAGATGGTGGTAAAGAAGGCGTTTGGCATGTTTACCTTTATTGGGTGAAGGAATTGAGGCATCATGTAACGGTTGTATAGGATGTGAGTGAGGCCACTTTTGGAGTACTGTGTACAGTTCTGGTTGTCCTACTATAGGGAGAATATTATTAAATTGGAAAAGGTGCAGAAAAGATTTACAAGGATGTTACTGGGACTGAAGGTGTTGAGTTATAAGGAGAGACTGGATAGGCTGGGACTTTTTTCACTGGAGTGTAGGAGGTTGAGGGGTGACCTTAAAGGTGTTTATAAAATCATGAAGGGCATAGATAAGGTGAATAGCAAAGGCTTTTGTTTTCCTGGGGTGGGGGAGTTCAAAACTGGAGAGCATAATTTTAAGATGAAAGATTTAAAAGGAACTGAGTGGCAACTTTTTCAAACAGAGGGTGGATCATATGTGGAATGAACTGCCAGAGTAAACCATAGATGCAAGTACAATTACAATGTTTAAAAGACATTTGGACAGGTTTGTGAATAGGAAAGGTTTAGAGTGATATGGACCAAATGCAGACAAATGGGGCTAGTTTAGTTTGGGAAACCTGGTTGGCATTGACAAGTTGGACCGAAGGGCCTGTTCCTATTCTGTATGACTCTATGACTGTATAACTGGTGATGCTAGTTGATAGGGAAGCTGATCTACTGATATTTGTTCGTGAAAAGAACTTTCTCATGCTGGTTAAAAGTTTGTCTTTTCCAATTTTGAACTTCCATTGTAACTCTACAACTTGTATCTTTTGTCATTGACAGGTCTGATTCTCAGTCACAGTGTTTTTGTGTGTGAGGATCTTAGTAGTCAGAAGATGAAACATTCCTTGTCCACAAGCTTTTCTGTTAAGGCACTTTTCTCCAAAGTTGCCATTGCCTCTGTTCAGCTGCTGGGATTTTCAAGGCCTGGGCAACCCAACTACAAAATGCAAACGTGCAAACTAGGTTAAATCCAAGGCTGCCAGCCACAGTCCAGCAAATTAAGTGTCAGCCTGCCTAGTGGGACTATGTTGGCCGCTTGTCCCTTGCCCTACCTCCATCAAACCCAGAAATAGGTGGTTTGGTGTTCAGCTTTTTTAAAAATTCTAACATCTCTCTTGGCCGCAATCCATTTTTCACTGTTAAAATTCAGCCAATAGTAATTGTTTCAAAGAAGAAGTGAACATTAGTCCATCTAGTTTACCCTTCTAAACCATCCATCACTTTGGCATGATTATAGAACATTTAGCCATATAACTCCAATGTTGACAGGGGTTTATTGACAAATATAATTAATGAGTTATCTATGTCACCCTCCAGATCATCAATGAATGTTAATTACAAAAGCAAACAAACACCGACACTTGAGGAACCCCACACAGGACTGGAGACCTTTAGGAAAAAACTCCATTTTAAAATACCTTCCACTAGATATTTTGGTTTAATGCACTGTCCCATTGCCTCCCCATATGAAAAGATTTCACTGTTCTGCACAATTTCTTGTGTAGTATTTGAATAAAAGCATTTCAAAAATACGAATAAATAATGTCTATCGAGTCCTCTTAATACAGCATTCTCTTAAAAGAACCCAAACATAGTGTTAAAATATAATTTCTCCAAAGAGGACAGAGTGTTTGGAATAGCCTGTCCAAGAAGATAGCAAATCAGTTCAATGTTATAGTTCTTGAGAGTGATGAATATTTTTGTCAGGAAGATATCTTAGTAGTGAATCATGAGTAACAGTAGTCTTCTAGAGCCTGCTTGATTATCTTGAAGGGTCAGGAAGAATTTTCAAATAACTGTTCCAGATATTGGCTGCCATTTTAAAAAAAATACTTATTTCTTCCCCACTCAATCATAAGAGTTTAGCATTATTAATCATTTTGGTGGCTGATGTAAATGATTGCCACAGGTTGCACAACAGCCTTTTGGTCTTATTTATACATGCAATTTCTATGATTTGATTTGATTTGATTTGATTTGATTTGAAGTTATATATGGAAATTATTTTTTTCTATTTCTATATAAGATTACAAACAGGCCTCTTTTCAAGGCTAAAAAGTCCCATTTTCATCATGTTTTCCTCACGTCTTTTCTATTGTTGGTGATCAGTCTTGTAGCTGTTCACAGCAGCACCTCCACAAATTTAGAATGTCACCATTGTGCCCTGATAACTAGATCTGGATACAACAAGCAATATATACTTTGATCAGACCACTGCCCACTCCAAACATGACTTTAACCAGTAATTTACTGTCATTCAACATTTTAGCATAAACCTTGGGTGTGATTAAAACTGAAAGATGGAAAATGTCACTTAAAATAGAAGATATGTGGAATTTCTGGTGAATGCATATAACATTTGTACGCAAGAATCTTACAGTGTCATTTCAAGGCCTAGGTGAAATTACACAAAATCCCAGTAAGGCTTTTCAGCTGTAGCTACCATGGTAACTTTGGGGACCAGTTAACTCAGTTGGCTAGTTTGCACAGGGCTCAGCACCCACACCAGCTGAGATTACTATGAAGACCTCTCCTCAACCTCCTCACCCTTACCTGAGGCTGGTCACCGTCAAGTTAAGCCAGCACTAGTCATCTCTCTGTAATGAGAAAGCAGCCTAATGGTTCGGTGACTTTACCATGATATCCACTATAAACAGTGCCTGTGAAGTTGTTCTGATCTAGCTATTTGAAACGTATCCTGGTCTTTTTTCATTTTTCCAAGTTAATCCCCAGTAGAGTAAACAGCTTACAAAGTATATCACTTTGGAATCAGAATGTAGGAAGTGCATGCATTTGATTCACCTTGTAATGTTCTCTAATGGCAGTACATAGCTGCCAGCTCAGTGTTAGAAATTTGACAATTTTGGGAGTATTGAAGTTGGAGATTCCTTTTGAGATTCACTCCTCCACTGGTCATAACAAATTTCAAATTTAATTAGCATGGTAATATGGTCAATTATATAGGTTTCAGATTGTAACTGGTTTAATATTAGAAACAATTCAGCCAGGTATCTCTTTTGTCAGCATAGAACAACTTGTTTATTACAAATAAAAGTTAAACAAATGTGCAATGATTATAGCCAAAAAAAAATGCTTTATACTATGCACAGATACGTCATCTTCTAACATTACAAACTTAAACATGAGGCAAATATGAGTAACAAACAAATGATGGTTGAACATCCATAGAATGCATCAAATTGCAAATATAATGAACAGGTCCCATGGAGTCCTCAGCAATTCTGTCTCATCCGCCCTTGTTAGTGACGTTGCAGGTCACAGAATCTGATTATGACTTCACAATTAATGGGATTATGATTCTTCACTTTTGATGACTCTGCCCTGAAACTCCCTCAAAAATCACTCCACATGGACAACCTCAATGATTTTTGATGTTCAGGTGGTTTGTCTTCCGTTCCTGGGACTGTGTTCTTTAGGATTCTTGGAAACCACAATTCATCACTTTTGACGCAACCTTGGAATTCTTTGTTTTCATTTCAGTTCTCTTAAAAAGTTACTGGGTTGGTGGGCAGAAGTATTTCAAGAGAAATGTTATCATTATCATGGAATGCTGGCTTATGGCTTAAGTTGCATGTAACAAAAGGAGAATTCATCACAGTTTGCAGAATGAGATTTTATGAATATCAACCAGCATCCTACCTACTAGGGCAAAATTCTTAAGAGGTAATGGGACTTGATATTTTAAATGTATTGAGGCATCAAAATTATCATAAAGGTTTTTTTTAAAACAGCATAGTAACAGTGAGATAAACCTTGCTAATATACATCAAAGTAAGTAAAATAAGTAAAACAAAATGAGGAGGCAGACAACACAGAGAGATGGATAAGGTAGCAAAAAGGGGATGAAAGTGAGAAGTAAACAGGATGAAAGTTAGAAAAGACAAAGGAAATGAAAAGATAAATATACAGAACTACAGCAGAATTTTGCATTTTGGGTCAGGACTCCTGACATTGGGATCAAATGCAGATCCTGACCCTACATCATGTCAGGAAGTCACCCAAAAGTAATATTGCCTTGCTGGTCAAATTAGTAGCCAGAGCGCTGGCTCACTCAGGAACGAGGAAGGTAGTTTCGCTGTTGCAGCAAGAAGACCAATAGAAGGCCATCCAGCATGCAAGGAACTGCAGATTATCGTTGTAGATAGGGGAGAAAAAAACACCGTCCTCTTGAAATCCTTCTGCCCACCAACCCAGTAACTTTTTAAGAGAACTTAAATGAAAGATGGCCATGGCAATTTGACCAAGATTATGGAGGGGCACACCTTCCTCTTCATGGACTGTGGCTCAGTTCTAGCAAGGAGTTCAGGGAGGGTCGGCAGATGCTGCCTGAGGCTCTGGTAAATATTGACCCATTGCTGGAACCTTTGAAAATTCCAGTCAGCCTCTGGTCCATGATCTTATTAGGCCTTTAACAGCCTTAACTAGCTACCCCTTT